GCTCGAGTGGATTTTGAGTTTGCTAGGCTTCCTCGCAAGTTCACGACCGCATGTTGAATGGCAAGTTGTTGTTTCCTTCTTTCTGGAACTAACCCCATGGGCTTGGGGTTTAAGTCTACGTGTGGCCGGGAGATGGCTTCTCATTTCATGAGCCTGAAAAGTCTCGGTCGGTCGTTTGCAGATTTAGGTAAGTGCGTCGCTCCTGAACGCTGGCAAAACCATCGCTTCAGAACGCTGAAACAAAATCGCTTCGGAACGCCGGAAAACGTACTAATCGCTTCGGAACGCTGGAAGTGCAGCCACGTGCCACGCGCAGCACCGAGACACCGGCGAGTGCTTCGCTCTTGAACGCTGGGACAAGAATCGGCACCCATGCGTAGCTGACGGATTTTTTCTGATAGCCTCGAAAAACCCTAAGACCTAAACCCTTTATTAACGTACTATAACATTAACAGCACCTGCCACCGGAGTCTGGATCAAGTGATTTGGGTTTCGGTTGTAGCGCCCCACTTTTTCGTGAAGTTGTTTGGGCTGTGTCAGGTTTATTGTTTCAGGTTCATTTGATTACAGAGCTTCAGCGGGTGTGCTTATCATGCCCCCCCCCCCACCACCCCCCACCCCCAGAACCAGATGAATTTGCACATCTGGTTACAGAGCAGGCTGGGCTGGTTCACTTCAGCGGGTGTGCTTATCATCCCCACCCACCCACCCACCCAGAACAAATTGATTGGATTTTGCACACCCTTGCTGGTGAAGCAGTTCAGCGGGTGTGCTTATCATGCCCCCCCCCCCACCCCACCCCCCACCCCCAGAACCAGATGAATTTGCACATTTGGTTACAGAGCAGGCTGGGCTGGTTCACTTCAGCGGGTGTGCTTATCATCCCCACCCACCCACCCACCCAGAACAAATTGATTGGATTTTGCACACCCTTGCTGGTGAAGCAGTTCAGCGGGTGTGCTTATCATGCCCCCCCCCCCACCCCACCCCCCACCCCCAGAACCAGATGAATTTGCACATTTGGGTATAGAGCTTCAGCGGGTGTGCTTATCACCCCCCCCCCCCACCCCCCCAGAACCACTAGATTTTGCACACCTGGGCTGGGACGCCTGCCTGCGTACGGAAGTGATCCTGGGCTGGGACGCCTGCGTTCGGAAGTGATCTTTTTGACTGACCGGGTTTTGCAACCCTTTCGGCGTTCCGGGTGCTCAGTGTTTTGAAGTTATTTTTTTAGTGTTCGGAAGTGATCGAAAGTGGCAGCGTTCACAAGTGATTTTTTTAGCGTTCTGAAGTGATTGTCTACCCAGATTTAAATGGCCGATTTGGTCGTCCTGTCCTATTGATGCAGATGCCGTCTACCGTTCGTCAAGTGCATTTATGTCGTCCTTTTGCAGCCTTGCCAAGTTTGAACCAGCGACCCTGTTTTGCACCCCCCCACCCAGTTTTCGAAACTTGGCAAATTGACAAAGAACAAACACCGGGTTCCCTCTTGCACTGAACTTGCACTGAGTGGCAACGGCAAAGTGGCCAACCCGGGTAGACCACAGTGAAGTTGCTGAAGTCGCAGAATGTAGCGACCAGAGGGGGCTTGGCGACCGACTTCCCAAGCTCTTTTTCTTCAAATTTCTCAGGTTGGTGATGTACGTTCTCTCAGGTTGCCTGACTTCTGTCAAGCGTCTCGTAGCTTTCTTTCTCGAAGGTGCCTTTCTTGTGGTTCCCTTGTTTCCAGTTAGTGATGTGTTGCAATCCTTCCATTTGCTTAAGGTTTTTCCCCTGCTGGTTTTAAAGGGAATTTATCACTACTGGAATATGTTTTTGTTTTTTGTTTTTCCAGGGGTCTTAACCAAATGGAAGAATCCACCCAGGAAATAGCTTCTCTTCTTTTCGGCTGTCCCCATTCGGCCGCCTGACAGCACTTGGCTCGCTGCACAGAGCAGCTTATAGCATGGGATGCCACGATTGTCGACCTTGACGATGTCGATGGTTGTGCGCACGCGACGCAGAAACAGCATTCGCACAATTTTGCCGGGCGTCATTTGGTTCTTGCGATGGCAATCAGCAGAAAGCCGCCTGAAGTCGGCGTGCTTCATTGAAGCCACGACGATATCCAATGCTCAAACAATTCAAGACGCATTGAGCTAGCCAATGCTGACCATATTCCAGCGCGAAAGTGCTTGAAGCTTGTTCCGGCCGAGCCAAGGGAATGAGTTGCTTTGCCTTTTGGGACAAAGCGGTCAATAAACCATGCACCCAGAGAGTTCCGAGTTCCGAGTTGGGGCTGACCATTTGAAGCAACCGCATCGTTCATCTGGCGGCTCCAAGCCATCCGGTTCCTTAGCTTTTGAGCTTTGCAGGCTAGGGGGGTTGGGTTTCCATTTAACCCACCCGATCTGAACGCGGACAGCCAAGCTACAGGCGCCTAACCTTGGGGTCGTCACACCAGAAATCGTCACAAGTGGTGGATCCATGAAGCGCCGCCTTCTGCCGCTGCTTCTGAGCTGCTGGGTGCCTGGCAGGGGATGGCAGGGGGCCGTCGGAGGCCGTGGGGCCATGGACAAAAGGGGTTGATCTTGCAGCTAGGGGTTGGTTCCTTTTCCATTCTTTTCAACCATCGTTCTGTTCAACAACCAGCTGTTTCCCTGGGTATTTGATGGTTTCCTGAAAAAAGGATCCCTGGAAAGAATGGGGAAGGTAGCCCTGGAGCTTCGGGGTGTTGGGTCTGTGGACTCTCGGTGCGATGGGAATGACCGCTCCGGGTGTTGGACATGAAATGGAAGGGGCAATGATTCCCTCAAGGGAAGCCAGCAAGTTGAGGTCTTGGGCCTCAAGCTCGCCGCTAGCGTCTAAGGGTCCATAGCAAGTGGGGCCACGCTCGGTTGGCTTTGATACTTGGCTTACCTCATCTCTGAGCGTCTTGCTCCATGCTGGTTCTGGCCGAACTCGCTTGGTCTGATTTGAGCTGAGTAAGGCTGGCGGGACAGATCTGGCTGATGCACAGAGGATTTGCAACCCCCAAATGTTCAGGCCCCCCTACTGATAAGCGAGCGGACCCCATAAACCGTATGGCGAAAGGATCAGTCCTCTACACACTTAGAGTCCACAATTGAACAGCAATCCCGTCTTCCCGTTGGGTTGGAAAAGAAAGAGGTTCCCTTGGTTTCCAAACAAGGAAAGCCAAAAATCAGAATCAAGTTGATCAATCGGGGGGAGCTTCAGTCTACCTTTGGATCCTTCACGGTTCGCGGAACCCGCGTACGTGGCCAAGCTTCTCAGCCCCAGGGTCAACATTCGGGCTGGATTCGGATTGGCCAACCTTTCCCTCACTTCGCAGGAAGATGTTCTTATTCAATGTTCACATCTCTCGGGGGTCGACGAGTCATCTTGGAACCAACAACCACTTGGGTGTTGCACTATGGCATGGAGCCCGGTGGTCTCTCCGAGTGTCCCTGATCATAGCGGTTTCCGCAGGTCGGCCAAACGGAGGTCCCTTCAAACTCGGGGTGCGCCGCTTATCCCAAAGCCACCACCAGGGGATGCAAAAACCACTTTCCCCCAACAATAACTCCCCCCCCAGTAGACACAACTCCTGGAGGCGGAACAATATCTACTAATTAAGGTACATTAGGCTATCAGAGGGACAGGGAGCCGCTATGGTCCTCCTCCAAATGGTGCGGACCCAAACTGAAACAGCTGATATCTACATTTACATCATTGTTTGTTATTTGTTGTGCTGGTTTCGAGTTGGCTATAAATTTGCTTAGTCTCGGTTTAGTTTGGGTTTAGTATGTCTTCGGTAAAGCGTGCATGAATGACTACGTAGGGGCAGGGATTAGCATGGACATTTACTGGCATATTTCCAGAGTCGTATTTACCCTCTTCCCGCCCAACACAGTGCGCGGGCCCCTTAGCAAAGTGGGATTCCAAACCATGTTTGCTGGTGGGAGGGAAGCCTTTGGAAGCACAGGCGTCCAATTTGTGTTCAACAGAGCTGTGAAAGCGTCAAAGCGAGCCAGGATCCTCGGTTGTTCCATGATGTGCGTGACGTGTGTCACGGGGCTCCGCATTCCAGCTTCCATGTATCCGTTGTAATCACCCAACAAAGGCTTTGCGGACCAATAGGCAGTTACAAGTTCCTTCTACAGTTTTAGGGGCCATCAACACGCCTTCGAGTTAAGATTCCAAGGGGTGGCAAGGGGGCAATGAACTGAATATGGGCTTAAGGGTCACATGCTGAAGACCTGACCTGATTTTTGTTGCACTTCGCTTGAGCTGTTCTCTCCCCAGCTCCAGGTGAGGGGTTCCATAATTCCATTGGAAGGCAGGGTCCAGTTGTTTCCAACCCCGCCATGCCGAGAGCCTGAATCTCCTTTGTTTGGTGCTGGCAGCGCGGAGTAGGGACGATCTGAAAGGAAAGGGCAGCTGACGTCAGTGCCAATGTTGTCTCTCTCCGCTGTCACGGACACGTAAAAAGAAACATGTTACAGCTGGACGGAAATGGACGGTACGTTCGACAGAATGGGCATCCTGCCCTCCACTCGAATTCTAGCGAAAACAAATAGTTGTCCTTGTATGAAAGATTCTTCACATTTACCAATCCCCAGATCAGAAGGCTTGCTTGAAACACTCCAAAGCCCAGGTGCTGACGCATCCCCTGCGAGCTTGGCTCTTTCCCTCGGCGCCCACAGAAGTCCCAGACGACGGCCCGGCGGCGGAGCCTCGGACCAAAGAGAAGTTGGTTTGAGTAACCAAAGGCTGGTGCTCACTGGGAAATGCGAAACGGAATCACCCCAGGCAAACCATCTCCTTTGGTTTTGCTTTAAAGGATTCCCTAGGCTTTTCCACCAACACCCTGGTAGGTCATTCCCTACCCTGTCGCACCACGATCTGAGTATGGGTCAAATTCAATCCTCCATGGGACCGCAGGTTTTGGTCCTTGGTTCCATTTACCAGGGCAAGCCATTTTGGGGAAACCCTATTCTTGACCCACACCCATCTGATTG